CTACAATTGCAAGTTTTACAACTGCATAGCCAGTTCGAGACCCCGAGAGTTCAGTATTGACCCCTATTAACACATAATGCGAGCAAACAAAGAGGAATGTTTCGCTCTCATTTTTTTTAATGGGTTTGTGGTGTATCACTCGCATATCACAACGAGTGCAACACAATAGCAGTTTTGAGTCTACGAGCATGCCATTTGATACATACGCATGTAAAATAGATTTTCATGTATGGATCTCCGCAAATTTGGTAGCTCGAGACAAAAAGGTATACTAATAGTTTCTTTTGCATATTTCTCCATCACTGAAGGAGAGTCTATTTGTGCTTTTGCTCATTCGACACTAATGCAAATGCCTCCTCTGAAGTATTGCTTTGCCCTTGGACGCGTTTCTTCATGATAGCTGGCCATGTAGAACAGCATGATACCGTACAACTGATTCTCCTTGAATCCCAAATCTCGCCAACGATATCGTGAAGTGGTGCGTCAGCTTTGAATGGCGCTTTATTGTCACTTATGAAGTATTGGCGATCGCAAAAAGGTTAACCTCTAGGGATAATATTATTTAATTCAAAAAAGATAAGATACAATGTATGTATGTTACAATGTATGAACACATGGTATGTCTCTCATAGCCGTTGTAGTGGTTTGGGAAAGATCGATGGGAAGAAGTGGTATTTAAATTCCCGTTTGAAGCTTGGGCCAAGTGAGTCGACTATGGAGGATATGCGCTGAGTCAATCCGGGCCCGTGCTGACAAAACACTGACACCATCGAGTGTGGCATTTATTCGCTTGCTGACCTAGAGTACCCACCTCAGTGGTACGGATCGGGTCTGCGCCGTGTAGTGCCGCGGAATGGGTTAATACAGAGTACAAAATACCGAGTAGGACCAGGTTATCCGTCATAATTCGGTCGAGGAGCGAGCAAGAAGGTTAGCCAATGCTGCATCAGACCACGGATGCATTCGGCATGTGCTGGCTGGCCAAGATCGGAAGTATCATAGGCGGAATCAACAAGCGCGATGATTTGGATTGTACCGGAATTTTAAAGTAGTACTTCAACAGCGTGATTAGCCTGGGTATGGGGAACATCTGTTGATGTGTCAGAGACTGGTGAGAGGGTTTAGGGTTAAACGGTGGTTCTTCTACATGCTGGAGAAAAGATCCAAGGTTTTCGTGGCGTGGAGGGTCGAGATACCGTGGAAGTTGTGACACTCCGTCAGGGCCAATGGGCTGCAGTTTCGGGCCTACAAAGATGCGTTAAATCAGATGTTGGATGCAGGTAAAGTGGCTGGTAGTGAACTTGTGGCTACCGGGGCAGTCAAGGCAGAGACAGTCGTCGGTGCGGTAGTCGAGCAATGTGAACATGTACGTATTCATTACAATCATAGAACAGAGCCGGATTGGTGTAGGCTCAAAGCATCGGTTGAAGCTGTCGTGTCTGGCCTTGTCTCGGTTTGAGGTTGGTGGTTTACCCATAATTAATTGGTAGTAGTGTTGGCGCCGGACCATTGCCGCGATCTCCTTGTTGGATCTGCGCTTTGTTGAGTTCTTCCTGATGTCGTCATAGCGTTGGCAGAGGGCTACATGGTCGGGTGTTTTCAGGTGAGCATAGATACTGTATGGGAAGCACAATGATGGTTTGTCATGGGCCCAGGTGGGTTGCGTCAGAGCGGTGAGTGGATTTGTACTGGCCATTGAGGCGAGTTGTATTCCCAGGCAACCTCCGAGGTAGTCCGCGAATGGTCGCGCGGGGAGCAGGCCACAAAAGTGGAGTAACTTTGTTTGATGTTTGGAAAACCGAGGGTATTTAGTGCCCGTGATGATGGCTGCTGCTTGGATGAGTACTGAGTTAAAGCGCTCGAACAGAGGGTCCAACGCATTATTCCATATAGGCGGAGCCCAGACAATAATGTTCAGGCTATATGTAGCCGTGTATAGGCTGAATGTTTTGAACAGCACCAGTCGGTTGCGGGGGTGTCGCCAGCTGAAGCCATGGAAGCCATAAGTGCGGAAAGAGGCGATACCCAGGGACAATGCTGCAACCAGGGATTCCATATGTCTGGCGAGGTTGATTTCTGATATTCCGTGAGAGAGTGGGAACCCCAGAAATTTGGGGCGTTTCGGTTTGGCATGTGTGGGCGCCATCTTCAGGGGGAGGTAACGTGTGTTCCAAGGTGCGGCTGCAAGCGTCGGCGTGATAAGCTCACCATTTACACGGAGGGTTGGCGCCGCGTGTATGATACCCTGTTCGAGGCCAGATTTGCGTCCCCACGCATCAATATCATCTAAGAAGGGCTGGAGCGGAATCAAGTGAGGGGCTTTGATCCGTATGTCATCGACAAACAAATAAGAGCGGAGGAGCTTGGGCCGAAATTATGCTAGCGTGACAGCTAAGAAATCCATATAGATAATAAAAAGCTGGGGGCCGACGATTGAGCCTTGTAGAATGCCATTCGTTCTATGGAATAGAGGCGAGAGCGTGCCGCGGTATGTCATTCGGGTAGAGACCCTTTCAAATAGCGCGCGGAGGCAGTTGGTCCAGTTTTCGGGTATTCCAGCGTGGCACAGGAGTACCCATAGGCGTGGGAGAGCAACCTTGTCGTATGCCTTGGTATTGTCCAGACAGACGTCATTCCATTTTTCTTCTGACTGTATCTCAGATTCCTTGGCGGCGAGTGCTTGGGTATGACAGGAGTACCGTGATTTGAAGCCAGCTTGGGTAGCATGGGTAGCAGAGCCGGGATGGCTCATATTCAGCTTAAGAAAACACTTTTCAAAGATGCCTCTGACTATTTGCGTAAGCGTGATGGGGCGGGGAGGGGGAGGGGGGAGGGCGGTATCTGCATCGGCTTCCTTTGGGTGCGCTGTCAGGAGGCTGCAGTTCAGGACTGCGGGGAAGGTACCCGCCTTCAGTAGCTCAGTGAATACTTTGGCAAGGAGTGTAATCAGTGGGATATTGGCGCCGGGGCGTCCTAATGTCGGGCGTTTGATGGAGCGTTCCACTGCGGCCTTCGGGAGGAGGATGTGGATCCCGTCGGGGCCAGGTCCCTTATTGGGACAGCGTAGTATAGCCTCCAATACATCGTCGGGGCGTATGGTGGGAGTGACATGGGGAGAGGGTACGGTATCCGGTGGAACCACGTACGGGTTTGTAGAGTTGAATAGGTCCTCAAAGTAGCCAGCGAGGGCGGCGTCTGTGTCATCGGCACCCGATATGCAGGGTTGGCGCGAAGGCCGTCGTTGGTACGCAATATCTTTGAACATTTGAACATTGCTTTGGGCGGTCAGATGTGGGCGGAACGAGTGGTTTGGCAGCCGCTGAACCCAGGGTCTGTTTAAGCCATAGTAGAACCCCCCGAAGATTTGTGGGTTAGCGGCATAGCGCCAGATGCGGTCGAGGACCCGTAGCAGCCCTTCCGCTAGTCCGTGCAAAGTGAGATACGACCGTAGTAGGTTCTGATGTGCCCGGATTTCGGCTTGGAATAGTCGCACGCGGGAATTGTTGCGTAGGTGATACAGTCGATGGCGATATCGGTTATATCCATGGGAGAGGTGTTGGTCCGGAGGCGGCGGCATTGTTGGCATTTGTTGGGACCGATGGATTTGATTCGTGGGAAGTATCTGGAGATCGGGGACTTGCGAAAACATCCGTTATGGACTAGCAAAGTTGGCGAAGCAAGCCGCCGATCACAGGCGATCATCATGTGATTAATTTCAAATCACATAGGGATATTAATTTATTCATTCTATTTCATTTGGTCATATTCGGATCACATTCTGTAATCTACAACTCAACAGTTCAGCCGTTCCCAGCCTGCGGGACGGACATGTATGTATGTATGATAGAGTATTTATATACACATACGAATGTGTACTTCGATAAAAAGCTACATCATCAATTAACCATTAAACTTAAATACAGCAAAAATGAGATTGCGAGTGCAAATTCTCACATGGTGAGGTTCACCGGACACTAGTCATAGCAACGTGTCGATGCTGATCTCAATTCCTCCCCACTGGAAGCACACCAGTGCTACACACAATAAAAGCCATTTTTACAACTACGTTCGCATACACATCGGTTGATCGAAGGTAGCTGCATGCCTCTAAAGCGGAAGGGACACAAGTACTTTATACAATCCGCCATCTTAAGACTATTTTTAGACTCTAAGGAACTCTTTCATTTGCATGATGGGAGCTCCGCCCAATCTCGATTCCAGGTTCTTTAAGTCTCCCTTTAGAATTTTGTCCTGAATGGGCGAAAAGTTGATCCAAAAGGGTTAATAAATCGATCACGAATAGTGTGCCATCCCATTCAAGTAAGCGAGTAGAGCTCAAACACCCCATAAATCGCAAACCTTATATGCGCAACTCTATATGGACCGCAAATACTGTGATACAGATACTATAATTATTGCGAAAAACATCGAGAATACAAACTGCGGCTCGAAGCTTTGACATCGCGGCGTTAGAATTATAAAAATAATCAACGATACCAGGCCTCCTACAGGGATGATTGATTTAAATGCATTAAGAACAATTCACAATCACCTACCTGCAACCACGGGTCCATTAAAGCCTCGACTGCACTAAATCTCTTCTCCGGGTTAAATTCGAATGCTCTCAATATCCAAAGTTTGGCTGAATGCGATTGAAAAATTAATAGTATCAATTTGTATTCATAGGGCGCGCAGAGTAACAAAACTTGATTCGATACTTGTCCTCGAATGCGAGACAAGGAGGGTCTGATGAGATGAGATAGAGACGTGGCACTTAATGCCCTGATGGATATTGAAGCATAAATAGGTGACAGTTAGAACAGTATGGCCAGATCACACAGCGCAGTATAAAATTGGAAGGGTCAACACGGATTCTTTGTCCAGGATGTCACATCCACTTCTTAAAGTGATAATATTCCTCTTTAAGTATCCCCAAACATATACAGAGCATCCAAGAAATTCCATGGTCAAAATCGATATAAGGGATGTATCTAGCCAGTTGCTTGTGTATGCAAATCCATATATGTACATACCGGCATTAGATACATGACCCCAGTGTTTGGCAGGGAAAAGAATATTGGGCTGCAGCGCACGGGGGGAGATGGCCTCATCTTCCTTAAACGGAAATGTTCCGCTGAGACTCACATAGGCGATAACACCCACTGACCACAGATCAATCTTTAATTTGTATCCGCCAGTGGAGTCTACTGCTAGTACTTCGGGAGCCACATACGCCTGTAGGTTGAAGTGTGCACACCAAGATGAGTTTGAGATATTGTATTCATATGATGATTACTGTTTTATATATATTAGAGATTGAATTTGAATATATAGGTATCAACTTACACTCCGATATGCGAGTACAAGTACAAACGAACGGTTGTATCAGCCCACTGCTGGGACCTCGGTGGTCACACATACGTGTGGACTTGAAATACACAGTAGAGTGTCTTAGTTCGAACCCAAGTTTAACAGTAAGCCATATATATCTATATATTCATACAAAAATATGGGCAATCTTGCTACATACCAATGAGGTTTAGAGAAAGCAGATCTATACACACAAATACATCAGTGGAGATTCACAAACAGCTACTGACAATGCTTCAAAGGTCCTAAATTCATATATACATACGTGTATTTTTTCTCACGAGATTTATAAGGGCAATTTTCCACGACAGTAGCAGCGGGGTTTGGACACAAGCAAACCCATGGAATCCAATTTACATATAGAAACTGCTGCAATACTTGGTTGAACGTAATATAAGCCATTTCCCAGACAGAGTAGGACACATGGGCGGTAACAAGAGAATCAAACAACACGCCAATAGTCATAGAACACATGTTGTTGGAATGGATAGAAACGAAGCAAGCAGCTCAGCTCTGAGAAACTGCTGTATCAGAAACTATTGCTTACTTAATTGATTGTCTGGAGCCACTCAAGGTAAACGCATTGACCTTAAAAGTATTCTACGCCTTTACGCATACATAGACACACAGTTGAGCACTACCCAACTAGACTACCTATATACATTCGCAAAAAATTCTAACTTTGCAACCTATACATTCCACGCCTATACCCGTACAAAGATACACATTTGAGCACTACCCAGCTAGACTACCTATACACGCTCGCAATAGAGATTCTAGATTTGACACCAAATCAATACGAGCTCGATTTTTAATGCACACACGTGCATGTCGCAGCTCCCGCATATGTCCAAATCACGCACCTTTGTTCCCACAAGAGACTTCATGAAAGAGTCCTCGCCTACAATGCGGGCAAATCCGAAATCGCACAGTTTGCTTTGAGTGAACTCATCCGAAGTACTCAGCAGCACATTCTCGGGCTTCAAATCTCTGTGCGCAACCTTGTTATTGTGCAGGTACACCAGTGAAATCAGTGTTTGCCACAGATAGAACTTTGTATGTCTTTCTGATAAATGCGATTGGGGAGAGTTCAGGATTCGATCCAGAAAATCCCCCCCAAACGCTCTCTCCATAACCAGAAAGAGCGTTTCTGGAGTACTGTAGATGTGCTCGAGAGATACAATCCCTGGGTGACGCAATGCTTTAAGTAGCGACATCTCGGCCTTCAAATTCTCGGGACGTGACATCTCGAAGTCTAGCAGCTTCCGCCACTCAATGACCTGTGATTACGGGAAGGGGTAAAAGCGGAAGGCCATGCCAGCAATTTATGAATTACTCAAGATGTAAGGCTTAGATATATATATATATATATACAAGACAGAGTGATACCGCTACGCCAGACACAAGTTTCCCAAACCATATGCAAATGCCACTAACTACCCAAGGGCAAACATAAAAAAGTATACTTGCACAGCCAACCGCATATAAAACAGTTGAGCATCCATGCGACACTCAACGATACCCGTCAAACACGCATACACCCAGGCATATTAGGATCAATCATTCACAATATACAAGAGTACACACATGCCTGCATGAATACTGATTAATACTTAACCAACTCAATTCAACGTACAAGCATATGAACATACGTATTTACATATGCAGTTGCACATGTAGGACTACATTACATGGTAATCTATAATACAACACACACACACATATATACATAGACAAACATACATAAAATACACAAGATATGTATATACATACACACACACACATATATGTATATATAGATATGCATATTTTGGGATACATGATAACAAACATTTACAAGCATGCATATGGATATGCATACGCCCTTGCGATAACTACCCAAAACATATGCACAAGATCACGATTGCAGACACGCTACGCAGGAGAGAACCCATACCTTAATGGCCACCTGTGCACCCGTTTGTTTTGACTGAGCCGCTCGTACTACACCAAACTGACCACCGCCGAGAAGTCCATTCTCAGTCAGCACAAAATCTGTTTCTAATTTATCAGAATATGACTGTGAAGGCACCGCACGGGGTAGCGGAGGGTCTTGAGCCTTCTTCTTTCCGAGTCGATTCAAAAAGGACG